TTAACTAAGGTACAGTACAACTAATGTGTTGTAATGAGACCTTTGATTAATAAAAATCAGTGGGTATATAACGAAGATACTGTGAGTCTAGGAGATCATGTGGAATTTAAATCTGGCATTCCTGTGGTATTACTGCAGTGTTGTGTGGTTTGTTACTCAAACAGAAATGAATGCGAGTCAAATACAATATAGTAGTTAAAATATTTCAGTTACTGAAGATATTCCAAAGATGAGACGATAAAATATTAAAATAATATCTTCAAAATAAAATATATTCAATAGTGGACACAATGAAAAACACATCAGTGATATGTGATCATTTAATTATGTGTACAAAAACAAACCAGCCACCCATATAAAATCAGAAATCAGTTATACTAAGTTGTGCAGCAACTTGTGGGCAACAATGAACAATTTTTAAACATTTTATATTAAATACAGTGTGGTCTGACACTTTAAGAAAAGTAGATGTAAAAGATAAAAATCACCAAGGCAGGTTAGTGCTGAAAAAAGTTTCAATCAAATAACATCAATATGAATTCAATAAGTAAACATTAACTTACTAACATTGGTCAAGCTAATGGGAGTTTGTAAAACACTAACACTAAAGATGACCTATAAAGCATCATTCAACAATATTAGGAAGAGCTTATGTCGACCAGTCACTTACTGTGTTGTATTAACGTCACATTTCATTAAGTTGAACTACTAAAAAAACACTTTGAAAAGAATATTTTCACAAAAGCGATTATCCTCTGCTATTGAATGTCACCACAGTGCTATTGCATTGAATGTCACAGTATTTTCTGTCAGTACACCTATCATCCACCACTCACCACTCTAACGGCAAACACACACACACACACACACACCAAAATTACAAAAATAACTTACATCTCAACAGTTCCAATAACCACATTTATGAAAGCTAAAACGGGTAAGAATAACATATAAGGCTACAAATGGTTCAGTAACTCTTGGCTGCTCCTCTCATCTTTTCTGGTGATGCATGTGATTGAATAAAAGCCTTTAGTACTGCATGTACCTGTGCCTTACTATATCATAGTTAAGTGAAAAATTTGGCTACTTTTGGCAATTATTATACAAAAACAAATATATTAAATCAACAATTAAAAATCCCCAACTCAAGTTACAAACAACAATAACTGGAATCTTTAGTTGTGTAGTAAGAAATTTAGCACACTAAAAACAAAGAGGTGTCAAAGAGGTTAAGTGCAAAAACGTGCCTGTTACCTATACATACGGTTTGTAAATCAGACCACACTGATAAAGCCGACACACCACTGACTGGACAAACTAAACCTGTCCCACTGTGCAAAGCATCCCACATACAGTCAGTAGTTTAAAGCTAAAAACACTGGGTGAAGGACGATGCTGAGGCTTCCATGCTAGTTTTTACAGTGCAAATAAGGCCACCTTTTATTTCACAGTCCAGTGCATGTTCCCATGGTTATTAAGGTCTGTTTAAAAATATTAAATAGAAAACCAATTTTGTCCTTGTCATAGAGTATTAAAGATCTGCTGGTACACTGCAGTCTTCAGGTCTATGAAGTGTGATTTTCCTCTGACTCCCACAGTCATTAGAAACAATATATCAAGGCTTGTCAATGTGAGTCTGCTTCCTTCCCTCTAGGATTTATTAAACCCTGGGTGCAACTTTTAATTATTCAGTAAATTTAAGTGCGTACTGCATTCGCCTTGTTGGGTGCTTTCAAGACTGTAACCTTCATTCTTTCACAGAGGATGTGAATCAGTGTTGCTTATTGTCTCTTTCCTCCATGGCCATTCACAAATCTGTTCCTTGCAGAAGCTCTCCTTCGTTTTGTAGGTTGTAAACTTCTCAAAGAATCCCGCTGAGCTATGGATGAAAAAAAAAAAAAAACATATCTATGTTCAACATTTAGGTTGGTGGTATGAAAGAGTTGTCACCAGCCTGCCTGTTATGAGACTGACCTGCAACGCCATCTGGAACAAAACCACATGAGTCGACAGCACTGCTGTCATCACAGTCCTCACTTTGCACAGAAGTGCTCTGTAAACAGAAGGAAACGTGGAGTGAATGTCATTTCTGACCAGCGATAATAAGATGCACAGCTCTAAAGGGTAACGACACATCAAGTCAGTTAGACTGTCTACCGGCCTCATCATAGAAGACATTGTGACATGTCACAGTCGGTAAAACACAGGAGCAAATAACAAAATGAATGCTGCCTGAGTTTTATTTAACTGTTTGAGTTTCAGGGTCCTGGTATTGTGCATGCTGGCTCACTGTCACACCGTCATGGCGGACTGGGACACGTGAATAGATCAGAATTAATGTAATAAGCAACACCTGTGCTTTTCCTACTATCACAACTCAAAATATCTGTTTTGAGCAAAAAAGATTTCCAGCTCTTTCTAAGATTCTCCTAAACATTTTGTAAATCATAATTAAAATGTAATCAAAGCAGTGAAGAACAAAAGCAACATCTCACCTTCATTTTATGTTGCTCATACCACACCATCCCATACAAACATAGAAGTGTGATAAGTGCCTAAAAGAGGATGCAAAAAAGTCTGATTAAACAAAATTATTTTCCACACTTAATTAGTGCTGTTCAATAAAGACCATTCAAATAAACTCAAAAGCAAGAAAGAAATGTCAACAAGCTACAAGGGGTGACTGTTACAAGGGCACAAGAAGGCCCAATGCAGCTTTGATCAGAAATCTTTATTTTTCAGGTCACTGAGTGTATATTATTCTGACTGTTTGACATCCTGTAATTTTCTTATTATATTTACGCAAGAACTATAGTTGCATAATACTGATGTACTTGGTCAAGACAGACAGACAGACAAAAGTGAAACATATGCTCTATTAGTCCACACACACACACACACACCTTTTCTTACCAGACAGAGCAGCCACAGTAACACATATCGAATTTGTGTCTTGGAAAACAAGTCGTGACCAAATTTCACACAAGCAAGAGCCTCGAGGAAAGCAATGGCCCTGAAGGGAAATATAAGGACGTCATATAAATGGTGTGTTTGCTCTGGAAATTTTAAACACATGTTTTTGTATTCAACAATGGCCCCCTCTCTTGGCAATGTCATTTCATTGCAGTGGAGCTTCTCTGTGGATGCATAACACTTGTGGTACATCCCAATGTATGTGCTCTGTATTATTGTTTCCCAGCCATTCAAACCCATAACAATACTCGCTCACCACACTGCTGTGGGAAACTCTTTTTTCCAGTTTTAAAGGTTACACTGTAGGGGTAAACCTTGGACAACGGAGTGGCCTCATTGTTGAGTATTTCATGCAGACGGAGAGAGACAGTCTCGTTGCTATGGAAACTAGAGCAGACTGAGGGCATTAGCAGCTTTGTGTCTGAGATGAGGTCAATAACTTCATTACGTGATGAATTTCATTCACACTTTTGAAAAGCTGAATTTCAATAAAGACACTCAAAAACGAAACATTTCAGTCCAAATAAAACCTTTTCTGTTCATCTGTCAAATAAATAACCTGAACTAGCTTGCCGGATCTGCAACAGCTTGCAGGTTAATAAGATAGCTTGTGTCCAACACAACAGCAGTTTTAGTGAGGACTCCTATCAGTTTGCAGAGCTGTTGCCACTTGTGGGAAGAATCTATTTATTGTTAACTTGTGAGTGTGCGATAACTTTGATTCAATGTCATATTTTAATTTATTTATCTTAGCATGAAAGGGCCGCAAACTTTCCATTTCACTGTAAACCATGTGTTGTATAATGATCTGCCAATACCTTTCAACCATAAACAGGAGCAGATCATTAACGTGAGACACTGTTGGTTTTTGGCGTAGTACGTAAGTTGCCTTTGTGATTTGTTTGATTAAACAGGGATAGCCAACCAGCCTGGGCACAGCCCCTTCATTGTGATACATGCAGACAAGATCATAGAAAACCTACCAGACTCTGGACAAAGTTCACTGTCAGTTTACCTACCAGACTACTACACTGTTATCATTCAACTGACAGGTGGATACAAGCAAATCTGTCCCAAAATATGGCAAGTGGAATGAGAAAAGACATAGTAAAATTTATTTTGTTATGATACTCCTTAAAATAATTCCCGCTGGGGGCAGGTTTTATTCAAATATGACCATCAAAAGGTTCAGTGTGTAACATTTAGGAGGATCTATTGGCTGTTAAATATGACATTCATAGTTATGTTTTCTTTAGTGTATAATCACCTGAATATAGGAATTATTGTGTTCTTGTTACCATAGAATGAGCTGTTTTTATCTACAGACACCGCGGGCCACCATCCATAGGGTCCGCCATGTTGAACCGCCAGGTTGCTACAGTAGCCCAAAACGGACAAACCAAACACTGACTGTCACCGCTAGATGCCACTAAATGCAACACACTGGTCCTTTAATGTTTCTACATCAGTGAAAAACATGACAGGACAAATACTTACCCAAACACCCAGCATTGTGTGCCAACTCTTTTACACTGAGTGTCGGTCAGGTAAGCATAATATTGTCTGAAAGAGGTTGAAGAAAATAACAAAATTTGTAATTTGTACAAAGTCAGCTTTTAAGGTTTTCATACAGACTTAAATGTCAGAAAGCATCTGAAACAGCGACCACAGCAACAATTTGTGATGCCAGGATTAAATGCTTCTTTACGAAAAAGGTAGTATTTGTTTTAGAGAGTATTTAAATCTAGTATATCACATTTATTATTGCTCTTATATGTAGTGTAAAGGTGTCATTTTAAGGTTGAACGTACCGTACAGTGGGTGCAGTGATGACTCCAACGAGGAGGATACGACACCAGCTGAGAGGGTGAGACGCCTGGAAGACGAAGATGTGCTTGAGGAAGAACGTGTTCAACTCTGTCAGCTGGAAGATAAGGGATGTGAGACTTTAAAGGATTTCTTATGGAAATGTCAGCAGCAGGATCACATAGTGAGGGGGTAACTTTTTAAAAATATTTGATTCATGGATTAATTAAAAAAAGATAATCAGCAGATACATTAACAGTTAAAATAATTGTTAGTTAGAGCCCTTACACTGAGGACAATGTATTTCTGAGTCAAAGGTCAAAGAATAAAGTACCTGCCAAAGGATCATAAAGAGATAGATGCCTGCCAGCCTCTGAGAGGAGGACTTTGGGTCAAACCAGCGCACATAAGTCCAACTGGCCGGGGTGAACTGGAGCACGGCCCGCTTTATCTTCCCTGTGGTGGAGTGGATTTCCCTGAACAGAGCATGAGAACATGAAAATAATCCAGAATTATTGTATTATTAACTTTAACTGCAACTTTCTGTTACATACAAACAATCTTATGGAAATCTGCCAGTACTACTTGATTTTGTAGCTTTGTGAATATTAATTGCCAGAAAAGGAAAAGTTCAAAGTTAAAGGCAAAGAGCATAAGCCCCACTGACTTGATGCTGGCCCAACGGTAGGTCCTCATCTCCAAAAACCGGCAGGTGGTCATACCCAGCCAGATGCCTCCTCCATTACACAACAGTATGTCCAGTATCACCTGGTCCCACCAGCACTCTGCAAAGTTTGGCAGCAGGTGCATGAAGAACAGCTGCAAAAAAAAAAAAAAAAAGTGGAAAAGAAAGTGAAAATTAAATTAATTTATGGGGTGAGTGAGATTTTTCAATCAAGGACTACATTTCTTTAGCCGGTTATTTGAATGATTCTAGCACCTTTGTTGGCCTCAAGAAACTGTGACGCAGTTGATTCTGTGATGAGTAAATCTGGTATTAGGCTAAATCCCATAATCTAATCCATCCAGTCAACAATTGGCAGCAGTCAAGGCAACAGCACTTGCTATATACAGAAACTCTTGCTCATACTACTGCTTTGTTACGATAAGTTTCTCCCAAACAAACAATCCTTGTTGCCTGCACAGACCGAGCAAAATCACAAGTAACGTCTTTTTTCCATGACTTTACGGCTGAATTTCTGTTAAGCTCCTTGAACAGCTGCGATTCACGTAACAGATTTCGAAATGGACAGACTGACCTCATCTTGAACACATGCATGCTACCTCAGTGAGTTCCCAGGTGATGCTGATGGTCCAACAGAGGCCGTAGCTGCGGATGAGCAGAGCCTTCATGGCCCAGCCTGCGAAGTGTCCGAAAGCAAAGATGTCGAAGTGGCTCAGGATTCGCTCCCATGTTATCACTGTACAGTTCACAGCATATTCCTGGTAGAGGGAAAGGTGACTGAATCATAAGAAACACAATGGCAGCCATGCAATCATGGTAGCATTTTCTGTGCTTCCATCCTTCTATCCATCCTGACATCTTCCAATATATAGTACTAAATGTGGTATTAACTTCTGATGGTTTAAATGACAGAGTTTCAAAACCATCCTCACCATGACATCGGCTTCCCGTGTGGCATAGCGCAGGTTTGGGTCCAGCCAGTACATCAGTATCTTTACTTGGTCCCAGTTGAGGAAGATGAGGAAGACAAGAAACAGGAAGTACATAACACTGAGACCTGTGCGGGACAGGAAAAAATGAGTGAGGACAAAGAAAATTTTGAACTGGATTCAAGCAGAACATTTTGAGAATGTGAATAATACAGAAGTGACAGAGACAGATGTGGGCGAACACTTACCAAACACCATTCGCCAAATTGCAGGGTGAGGCCTGGTAAAGGGCCCTGATGAAGAAAGCATCATAACAGTAGGTGAGGTTTAGTGTGTTAAGAAGGCAAATTAACTAAAGGTCCAATTACTAGGTTTTGTCTAGTTATTATTGTCCTAAATCTACAGTTTAGGACAATAATGAACTTTCACACTGTATCAGGACAGATGTTTAGACTGTCAGTTTGTCTTTTTCGCTGATATTTGTTGTGCCCCTCTTCAAATTGTTCAAGAAGAGTCCAAACCCAAAATATTAACGTTACTATCACATAAGATAAAGAAAAGCTACAAATCCTCACATTTGAAAAGCTGGAAGCAGAGACTATTTGGTATTTGAGCTTGAAAAATGACTTAAACTATTAACTAATTATCAAGACAGTTGCAAATTAATGTCAGCTGACTCACTGTTTCAGAAGTACATTGGACAATACAAGAAAACAGCATGGGCAGGCACTTAATCGCATACCATTTAATGAAAGAGTGAATGTAGATTGTGTTCTGGCTTACCATTAGGAAAGGCTAGGATACTGATGACCAAGAAGAAGGAGACAACCACCAACAGACCAACTCGGAGGTTGTTGTCAGAGTGCTCATCGTCCCTGTAACAATACAATATGACATGTAAACAAAGGGACACATTACATACAGCCATTAAATACACAAATAACAGGTTAAACAGCACTTGCTTAATGAAAAAAGTTACATTTCCACGCTGTAGTTTACCTGGTAAACGCAAAGTACATGAGGCTGAGCACAGTAAATGTCAGGAGTGTGATGGTGTGTGGCTTATAGAAGAAATCAAAACAGATATCGTCCACTTGTTGCTCGTTTATCATTCGGAAATGTAACTTATAGTCGAGATCTTCCTTCCGAGAGCCTCGGCGAGCCACGGTGCCTGCCATGTCGCTGTTGCGGGCTAGCTAGCTGCTTTCTTAATTTGACCAATTCAACTTTAACGCCTAAAACTAGAAGTTGTAAAAGCAGAAAGACCAGATGCTGTTAATGCAGAAAGACGAGCCGAACCATAGGGCCAATAGGGGGGTGTTCGTACGTTAAAATACTCGTTCTCGCATTAGCCAAAATAAATAGTATGAACCGACAATACAATAACTGAATTAAATTTACAACTCTACTGTTATATTTGAGTTAAATTCCGCTATTTTAGTTTTCTATCCTCGCGAGTATATTATTTGCATTTATTGGTACCCACAAATATGTCGCCGTGGTACATCCCAAATTGTGACACTTCCGTGAAGTCCTTCCGTTGTAGCACGTGAATGCAGTTGACATTGCGGGGCTCTGGTGGAGGATGACGTTGAGCTGACGATGAAATCCTTTTAATCAATGCTTT